GCAGGCCCCAGCGGGCCCTAGTGCTGTTACCTGGCAGGTAGATGTCGGCAGGTGGGCCCGGCTGGCCGTGGCCGCAGTGCTCAGGGCTGCTGTCCTGCAGGACGTTCTCGATGGACGGCACTCGGCTCCCTGTAGCAGGCAGAGGGAAGGTCGGAGAACAGCCCCGGGAGCCCGGCTCTCTTCACCGAGGCCTCTGGAGCCGCCACGGGGACCCTGGGCCTGGGCTCCAGCCCGAGTCTACCCCAGTGTCCCACGTGCTCTCCAGGGACTCAAAGATGGATGCTTCCTTTTCTCCTCTTTCCCACGCGCCAGCACGTTATAAAAACATAACATGTCCACGTTTCAAATGGCGACAGGTGCTAACCGTGCACGCTCACCCCTGCAGACAGCCTGCAGGGAGCAGCAGTGCCTCGAGAGGGTGGGCCCTGGTCCTCCCACATGCACGTTTAGTCCCTCTCGGCTCAGGACACACACTGCTCGGTGGGGCCGAGGGTGTTCGCGTGGGTGAGGGTCCCCCTGGCAGAAGAGGGCTGGCCTAGCGCGGCCTGGAGCCCTACCGCCCCAGCAGACCAGGCCACCGGGTCCCTGCACGTGTCTGCACAGACAGAGCTCCAGGCCCGTGCTGAAGTGAGAAGCTGAGGCCCCGCGAGGCAGAGGGACTCGCTCAATGCCACCCAGCTGAGGACACACCAGGCAGGGAGCCCAGTTTCTAATACTCTACTCACAGACCATTGGTGCCACATCCTGGCTCTGTCACCTAAGTGGCCTTGGGCCTCCCCGACACCAACCCTGAGCCTTGGTTTGCCCACCTATCCTACAGCAGCAGGCAGGAACCTCAGTTTCTAATTCTCCTGGTAAGGATCGAGCAAGACGGCAGAGGGAGCTCGGGGGCCCCTACGAGGCTGGGCAGGGCTGTCTCCAGCCACAGCCATAGTCGCCACACCGGCAGCAGCAGCTGGGACCTAAACCCCACCAGGCATCTGGGCATGTAAGTCCCTCACCTGAAACGAGGAGAGATTCCAGCATCTCCAGCCGTCCTTGTTCTCATTCTTAACCAGGCACAGCAAGTCATCAAAACCACAAAACAAAAGAGGACTCTCCTCCCACCCCGGGACAGCCTTGCCCTGGAAGGAGGCGAGAGGCCCACCCTGTCCACAGGGGACAGGCAGAGGCTGACCAGCAGCCCAGAGCCCCTGCCAGACAGCGACACGGAGGAGCCCAGCCAGCAGCGCACGGACCACTCCTGAGAGGCAGGGGCCGGGCGAGAGGAAGACCCGGTCCTGGAGCAGGAGCGGCCTCCGGGAGGCTCCTGCGGGGCTCACCTTGCTTCAGTGATGACGCCTCATCCGCCTCTTCCGTTACGAAACTCTAGGAAACAAAGAGGAAAGTCCACCTGCTGGCCCCAGGTGATCGAGAGGATGCTGAGAGTGGCGGCCACCATGCCAGGCCACACTGATGTCACACATGGCCCCTCCTACAACCTGCACAGTGACTTCACCCACCGGCACCTCATCCCAGGGACCAACGGGGAAACCAAAGCTGGGGGAGTCATGCCAGGCCGCAGACTGGGTGGGGCGGCAGCCTCACCTCGGGGGAGCTGCTCTCCTGCGGCACCAGCCCCGCGCTGCTCAGCGGGGGAGGAGCGTCCAAGTCCTGCGAGAGCTTCTCCTCATCCTCTTCGTGGATAGGGGACGATGGGGACCGCAGGGTGCTGGGGACAGGGGCGGGGAAGTCAGAGGACAACTGGATGAGAAGGGCCAACCCGCCAGAGCCACACAGACCCCTGCCTGACGCCCCCGGGGGACCCTGCACGTGTCTGCTGGGATCTGCGACGGTGCTCCCTGGGGAGGTGTTTCGACCAGCAAGTGACTGGGACCGACCCGGTGCCCAGCAGCCTGCGGTCAACGCAGACCGACCCTGACAGAGGCCCCGTCCTGGCACACTGGCACAGGCCTGCGCATCCTTTTCTTTCTAGAGAGAAACCACCAGTGACAGTGGATGCCTGGGGCGGCGATGCAGCAGGAGACAGACCCCCACGTCTCTTTCTGCAGCCTTGGAGCTGTTCTCTGTGGGCTGCGTCGTGGGGGCCCTGGGCTGCCATTACAGACCCTGTGCCCGCCTTACACTTTTCTGTTAACAACTAATGCCGGGTGGGAAGGAGTTGACACAGCGGGCTGGCGGCCACTCCTCGCAAGTCTCCAAGGGAACCACAACTGACCCCTAGCCAACCCCAGAGTGTGGCCCTCAGAAGGTTCTTGGTGTCAGTGACTGATGACGTTAACTTCTGGGGACGGGCCACACCCGCCGGCTTGTCAGGTGCAGCAGCAAGATCAGTAACCTGCACCTGATTCACGGTCCGGCCCACGTTTCAGCTGTCATCACTGTCACACGGCAGGATATGCCTGCATGACCAGCAGCCCCGTAAAGTCCTGGGACCCTGAGTCTCAAAGGGGCTCCCCTCGGCAGAGACACAGGCCCTGCAGTCTGTGCATGAAGAGGTCACCCAGGTGTGGCCTCCACTGGCCCAGCTGCCCCTGTGCTCTGCCCTGTGCCCTTTGCTGCCATAAACTGTATCTGAGTCCACCCTGCCCCTGGGTCTCCGGAGTCATGTCGTCAGTCGCCACATGAAACACATTGGAAAGTTACTCAAAACCACAAATACGTGGGCTTTGCACACAAGTGCCGCCCCCACTCCCACGCAGCGCCCGGGCCACAGCAGCGTGCGGGCGCCACGCCCGGCTCACCTGTCGGGAGACTTGCTCCGCACCTTGCCCTTCTGGTGGCTGCCTTCTGCGAGCCGCTCCACCCCAGCCAGTGGACAGCTGGCCTGGGACAGGCCGTCCGACACGCCCGAGTAGGTGATCTCTTCGTAAAGAGGGGCCGAGGGGATGGCCGGGGAGATGGCCCGAAGGCCGTTGAGCGCCTCGAGCAAGGAGATGGGCTCGTAGCCGGGTGGGATGCTGTCGGAGCTCTGTGGGGACAGGGAGGGTGAGGGGAAGGTGGCTGGTCAGGCCCCCTGCCGGGCTTGTGTCCCGGGGACCTTCCGCTCCCCAGACATTCTTTCTAACAACTCCTATCCTACTGCACCTTCCGGGGACTTAACTCCCCTCCCTCGGCTGTCAGCCCCAGCACACGCGCCTGGACACCCAGACGCCCACGCCAGCCGGGACGAAGGGTGAGAGCCCGGGCCCGGGCCAGCCCGCCCTGGCTTTCTGGCCTGCCTGGCTGGAGGTGGACAGTGAGGAGTTAGTGTAGACAGAACCTGGAGCGGGGCGGAGCGAAGCCATGCCAGAGGCCACGGAGACCAGCAGGAGAGGCACGTCCCAGACCAGGGAGAGCTGGGCTGCCAGGAGCTCTGCCCTGACTCGGGCCTCGCGGGGGGACACGCTCCTGGAGACTCTATTAACAATAGACGCCCTAGTGAAGAGCCACTATACCCGCCTTGTTGGGGGTGGACTGACTCAACAAGGATGAGGAAGAAAGAAGACACCAGGTCCCTGGGGAACAGCAGTCAGGCCGCAGGGGCACTGCCCTGCCCTCAGTCTTGCTCCCCCAAAACCAGGTCAAGGGGCAAAATGCACCAGTGCACTTCGTGAGACCCTGGCCCGCCAGAATGAGCGCCTGGAAGGGGAGAGTGAGACGGGGCAGCCCTGGGGACCATGGGGGCAGTGGGGGCAGTGGCAGAGGAGGGAGCTTCCCTGGGCTGGTACCGGGTGGGGGCGGCCTTTTCTGGACACTTGCCTTCAACTGAACGGGAAACAATTACTCTCAACCCTCCCACCCTCTAAAAAGGAAAGGACTCTCCCCGCCGATTCTTGAGCGATCTCCACCTCTCTAAGTCACACCGAGGATACGTGAGGGCACACAGGACTTCAGCTGGGGCTGCCATGGCCAGTGGAGGCTCCGGGTGGAGGCGTGGCCTGGCTGCTCCCTGGGTGCAGGGAGAGGAGGCAAGGACACCACAGAGCCGGGCGGAGGAGCGGGATGCGACCAGCAAGCGAGCGGGGTGCTGCCTGCAGAGCGGCGTTAGTCCCACCTCCCACAGCGTCCACTGCCAGCAAGAAACATAGGGAAACAGGGAACTGGGAGACCAGGAGCAGGCAAAGCTGGTGGGGGCAGCACAGGGCCAGTGTGACTGGCTTTCTACCCGTGGACCTGGAGCTTTGCTTCTCCCACGGACGCCCGTCCTGGGCAGGGACACCAGGACGGGGAGCAGATTCGACAGATTACGTTCATTGAACACTAGCCTGCGGTGGAAGGGATTTCCCTTACTTGTCACTGGTTTAAAAATTAAGGAACAGGGCGAAAAAATGTAGCCATAGGACCAAACACACTTACTGTTTCCCTTTTAGGTTTCTTGCTGGCCAGGGAGGCGGGGTGCGACTTTGATTTTTTAAAGGGACACTGTCAAGATAAAAATCATATGTTTTACAACTACTCCCACCCACACACAATGGAGTGGGCTGGACGAGGTCTCTCTGATGTGCTGTCCTCTAGGCTCATGGTGACCAAGAGCTTCCAGAGCTTCTGACTGGGCTCTGGGTGGGCTGTCAGCACACCCACCCGGCCCCCAGGAGCTACGTGGCCGTTCTTGCAGCCAAGCGTCCAGGGTGTGGAGCCCGACCCCATCCCCAATGCCCCTACCGTGGTTCTGGGTCACCCGGAGCAGCAGATCTGGCCAAGGCGGACCCGAGAGTGGACAGACACTCCCTAAAAGGGGCCTGGCTGGCTGTAGGGCAGGAGACCCTGAGGCCGTTCGGCCAAAGCCCCCAACCAGCTCCTATCAGCGCCGAGCCACTTCCTAACGCGTCACCAGCGTTTAACTCCTCAAGACAGCTGGGAGAGTCAGCCCCAGATCAGCCCACTCCACGGGTATCTTACACGCTCAGTGGAGAATGCTGCCTCATCTGGGCTCTTCCTGGCACTACGTGGAAATGGCTCTTGCCCTCACAGTGGGGCACGTCTGGGGCACGTGGCAGCCGGAGCTGCCAGGTCACATATCAGCCCCTGGCTGCCCTGCACTGTGGGAGGCCCCTCAGCCGGCTAGAGACAGAGGGACCCGTCGGATGCTCGGCCACCAGGGCAGAAACCGGGAGGGGCAAAAACAAGCCGCAATAAACCCACCGGCGCCTGAGCGTGTGCGCTGGGGGCCTGCTCCAGGTGCCCTCGTGCTGATGGGCCCAGCAGGCAAAAATGTCTGTGTGGCTGTCCTGGGGAGCAAGGTGGGCGGAGGGGCGGGTTGGTGCACGACAGGGACCCCCAAGGCATGTTTTCTTCTCCAGCTTCCAGACCACAACATCAGATTTTAAAAGAAAAGAAAAATCTGGGTTTAAGGGAAATTCCCAGATTGTTAAGGGTTGGCCCAATTTTCAGAACACTGGGAGGGCTGAACATGTCACGCAAGCTGCCGGGTGGGCCCCGGGTCGGGCCCTGATCAGGCAGGCCGACAGGACGCACAGAGCAAACGCGCGGCCGAGATGTGCCAGCCGCAGGGTTCGTTCCTCTTTTCTTTTTAGCGAGGCTGCAGCGCCTTTGACAGCCGCTAGACCCGAGCCACCTCAGCTGACAGCAAGACAGACTCACCCGCTGACAGCTCGCAGCCAGCTGGGAGCCAAGCCCAGCCCCGAAGGCCCCGTCCCGCCCCCTCGGCCTCTGGTCTGCACCCATCCCCTGCCTCGCCGCATCCTGCTGGGTCTCGTGTCTGCCTCCCTGCACTTCTCAGTCTCTTTGCTTCTCTCTCCCCCCACGTCTCTGTGTCCCTCTCTGTGTCTCTCGGTCTCTCTTTGGGTCCCTGAAGCCAGAATACTCCCTCCCTTGCCTGCCTGACGCCCACCTGCGATGTCCTAGGGGGTGTCTCGGTGGAGGGCGTCTCCCGAGGGAAGCCACAGGCCTGTTCACTGAGAACCAGGGGCGCCTGGCCCCACTGGCTCAGTGGAGAGGTCGTGACAACACCTCAGCACACTCAGCAAGGCCACACGCTTGGCAGGAGCAAGGATAATCAATCCCAGCAGCCGACGTTCCCAGGCCCAGCCTGGTCACCCCACGAATGCCTCATAGCCACCTGAGCCACACCTGCCCACCGGACAGACGAGGACACCGGGTGCCGCTGCTCTGTCTGGGGCCCGGCCCCTCACGCCCCAGGCAGGGAGGCACTTACGGAGTGCTCCTCGTGGTCCAGGCTCTGCGCCAGCACCGGGCTGAAGGACACAGGGGACAGCGCTCCTGGCTTCTTCCGCACAGCCCGGATCTGCAGGAGGGCCCGGAAAGCTGGGCAGAAGGGGGGCTCCCATTAGACAGGGGCCCCACCCAGAGGACCCTCTGAGCGCCCCCAAGCCCCACCCACACTGTTCCACCCCACAGCAGCCCGGGACAAGCCACGAAGTCAGAGGCAAACAATCTTAATGACACAGCACCAGGCAGGGGGATGAGCAAAGCCTCGGATGCTGCCCCAGGGGGCGTCCAGGCCACACACCTGGCTGCACCCACTCTGAGCCCAAGGACGCTGGGCACAGGCCTCGCCCCAGGGAGCCTGCTGAGGGCAGGACGGCAGGGACGCTCATGTGGAGCACTGTGACAATGCGATGCCTCACACTGGGCACACCAAGGGGCACAGACAGCAACCGCCAGGAATAGGAAAATCAGCTGTGACCTGGGATGCTGCCACCATCACACCACGCTGCACAGGCCACACCCCACGAGAAACAGGCCACGGAACAAAACCAGGACCCCCCAACTGAACCTGCATCCCGGGGGAGGGAGGGGATGAGGGGCTGCAGGAAGGTGTTTGCCTCGCAGCTCTGCGCTTCTCAGCGTCCCCCGCGTTTTCTACCCAGGACCAGCAATGGCTGCCTGGGAAGGGTCCCTCCACCACCAAGGCCACACGGGCTCCGAGCTTGGGTCTGAGGACCCGGACTTGCAGATCCCTACACACCAGAAGATGCCTCAAGTGGGCCATGGGTCACGGCACCCTCCCTGGAGGGCAGCCTTTCAGCACCCACCCGGCCAGAGGCCTCCTCAGCTGCCCAGCCCAGCCCCCCAGGCAGGCCCACCCGGGGTCTGCCTTCCCATCCTTCCCTCAGCCCCTGCTCAGAGACCCGTCCTCACTCCCGGCGCCCCGCTCTTCCCTGCTTCGGTTCTTCCCTGTCTGCCCCCCACTCGGCCCGGGCCCCTCAGGAAACCTCCTCCCTCCCTGAGCCACCCTGGTCGCAGTCGGCCTCCTGTCTCCACGCCTGTCCACACCCTGTGATTCCACAGCAGCCTCTGGGAAGGACACAGGCCGTGGCCAGACCAGGAGTCCACAGGGGTCCCCCATGTTGGGGGCCCAGTGAGGGAGGACACGGCCTCAGGACAAGGGCCTAGTCCAGCTGGCCTAGCCCAGGGCTAAACACCAGCCTGGGGCCCTGCTCCGGCCTATCCAGACCCCTGGGTCTCCGGACCATGCTCTGCCCCCAGAAAACCCTAGCAGGCCAGGACAGGCGGGGGACGCTGCGCTCAGCTCCAGCTTAGGGGCCTCTCCCCACTGAGCTCCCTCCCAGCCACGGAGCTCTACAGAAGCCCTGGGGGAGGCCTAGGCTACTGGGGGTCCCTGGGGTACTGGGCTCTCGGAGGATGAGGGAGGGAGAGGCGAGGGCGTACTGCCAGAGCTGCTCCAGGACACAGGGACACCCAGGCCAACCCCACCCACAGGGCAACTCTCAGGAGCCGCTGCCTCCACCTTGGTGCGGTGCAGGCACCGAGGCCGGCATGTGAGGGCCACTCTGGGGACCCAGGCTCAGACCCCAGGGCTGCCTGAGCCAGGCAGAAAGAACCTTCCTCTCACCCCGGCCCAACCCTGCCCGCCTCTCCCTCCAGCCCCCAGCTCGGCACCCACCTGCAGCCTCCCTGTTCTGCGTCGGCTGCGGCTTCGTCTTGGGCTCCAGGACCCCCAGACCTGCCAGACCCTGCGGCCTCGTCCTCCACTTTGTATGCCCAGCCCGCCCTGAGCAACCACCACAGCTCCCACACGAACACCCTTTCCACGGCCACCTGGCTCTCATGGGGACGACCACGGTGACGTGCCAGTGCAGCTGCTCCCTCCCAGGCAGGAGCGTTGAGGGTCTGGGCTGAAGTCCCAGCCACACCCGCCCTGCCTCCTACCAGCTGTGGCCTCGGGCGAGCCCTCACAGAGCCACAGACAGCACCAGGGAAGCCCCACAGGCTACTGTGCTGGCACAGTCCCACATCCTGGCTCGGGCTCGGTGACCAGTGAATGAATGTGCCCGCGTCCCCACACCCACTGCCAGGACCCGGGCAGCTGGGGGCACAGCCCACCAGCCAGAGGCTCATTTTGACCTGGTGGCTTTTCATCCTGAGAATACTCAGGTTCTCCCTACTGGAGGACAAGTGACGTTCAGAATCATGCCCAACACGATGGCTTTCCACTGAGAAAGCGTCCAGTGCGCTCCAGGAAACCAAACTTAACTCCTTGATTAATCTTCTACCCGGCACACTTTTCTGTTTTCACCTTGAGATAATTTTTTATCAAAATATTTTCTACTTAACCTTTAAAATAAAGATTTCATTCGCTGGTGAATTATTGTCCAGTTCAAGTGTCACCGCAAACATTTGCCCTGGAGCACCTTTGAGGCCCCTCATTCTAAAAGTCTAATCTTCCCGGCAGCAGATTTTGAGGACTGCAGCGTGCCACACGCCGGCACACTCGCCGTCAGCGCTACCGTCCATGAACTGTGTCAGCCAACAGGTCCCGACGCACCGTGAACTGGATGAAGGACTGACAGCCCTTTATCTCTTAGCCAGTGAGGGGCCTGCAGCCCACGGGACCACCCTGGCCCTGGCCCGCTGTGGTGTGGCCAGTCCCCGACCTGCAGAACCTCCCCAGGGGCAGCAGGCCCACGGCACTCACGCAGCCGGCAGATGGGGCAGTTGTTGGCCTGGTAGCGCAGTGTGTCCGCACAGGAGGTGCAGAGGCACAGGTGGCGGCAGGGCAGGATCAGCGTGTCCCGCAGGTCAGACAGGCACACCACACACTCGTTGCTGTTGTCACTGTTCTCGTCATCCGAGGGCTGTGGGGACAAGGGCCTGGGGGTCAGTGGCCTCCCAAGGGCCAGAGCAGGGCCTCGCACTGCCCAGAGCAGGCCTTCCAGTCCCTAGCTGTGCCACCTGCTGTCCCCTCCTCCCCTGGGGCCTGTCATGGCTGAGGGAAGCCCAGAGGGCAGGAGGAGGTTACCGTGGAGCAGAACTCCGGAGGTGCAGCCCCGAGCCCAGCACACCACAGAGGGGAGAACCTGTGCCCCCCACCCACCCAAATCATGAGAATCCAGGCCTCTTTCTGTTCTTCAAACCCAAAGAGCAAATGTGGAAGACCCATGCCACTAAGGAACACCTCTTGACAATGATCAGGGTACCCATTTATTTGGTTAAAAAACAACCAAATAAGTTAACTTGTTGGAAATACTTCCATTAAGTAATGGCAGCTTCCAGAAACCAAATTAGCAACTGGACCAAGAGAAAGCAAAATCAAAAATGGATCAGCAAACTACGCGGGCAGCCTGTTTCTATAAATATTTATTGGAACTCAGCCACACCACTTGTTTCCATGTTGTCCGAAGCTGCTTCTGCCTGTGTAGATGTGACAGAGAATGTATGGCCCATAAAGCCAAAAACATTTAGCATGTGGCTCTTTTCAGAAAGTTGGCCAACGCCTGGCGTCAAACTTGGGGATGCGCAGAGTGTCCTCAGCCAAAAGGCTCTGACCTCCCCAGCTTTTAGCTGGTTCCGGCTGTCCTGGGCCCACATGCCACATTGAAGCTGGTGTCCAAGGCTTTCAGAGAGATTGTAACACACAGGCGGCAGTTGTAGTCACGCCAGTGTGCCTTTAAAAAGAATGAAAAAGACATCCAGGGTCCGGTTTCACTGTCTGCACCATTCCCTGGCCAGTCCCCTGACCATGCCTTGTCTGTGGCCACCACAGCTGCTTCCACAGACATCGAGAATGCGCATCCCTCCGCCAGCAACTGCAGGCTCCCCGTCTGCAGGGAGGAGGGAGCGGCCGGCAGGGTGCAGCGCTGGCCCCAACCAGGACCACTTAGGTGGCACAGCTGAGGCTAGGGGAAGGGCAGCAGGTGGTCCCCAGGCTGCCTTGGGACTTGGATGACAATTTATATAAGCCAGTGAATTTGCTGGAAAAAAGACAAAATGTTCTATAAACTGTTAACTTTTTTAAAAAATTAAGGAAAAATGACAGGATCTGGGGGCCCAGGACTCCCAGGGGAAGCCCCAGTGACTCCCAGCGAGTGGGCTCCTGTTAAGGCAGAAGGAACCGGGGAGGGAGGCAGCCAGGAGCCCTGGCAGGCGCCGGCACACGGACACACCTTGGTCTCCTGGTTGTTCTTGTTCTCGATGCCGTAGATCTCCTGCAGGAGGTAGCTGACCCGGTCCACCTGAGAGCAGAGAGGGGCTTGCTGGACTCCTTTGCACTCACCTGGCCCAACACCACCTCCTGGCACCCAAGGTTGCAGGTATCCCTGGGAATGCTGTCCGGCCTGTCCAGCCCAACCCCTGCGACCAGGGAGGGGAGGGGCAGGGAAAACCTGCCACCTGCCCAGCCCAACCAGCAGCACAGGGAGCAAGGTTGGGGCCAGCAGTCTGCCCGCCACACAGGGCCTGCAGCCAAGTCCTCTGCCCACCTTGCCACCCCAGCACTAGAGAAAAACCAAGTGGACCCACCCATCCCCAGCCCCAAAGGGCAACTGGAGGCATGAGACGGCAGCCTAAGCACCTACTGCTTCCCAAGTCTCCTTCCACAAGACATGAAAACGCTTCTGGTTTGGTCTCAAAGACACCGAACCAATTTCTATAAGCTGTGTTCTGTCCCGCACTCACTCCCAACCTGAGGGCCTCTCACACTGACCATGTTCCAAAACAGTCTGAGCTGCTGGGTTTCCTGCAGTTCCAGGGACCATGAGCACCATTCCAGAGAGCCCGAGACAAGTGCCCTGACCATCACTGGGGTCTCCTGCCGTCCTGGCATGTTCAGGGGTCTGGACCCACCAGAGTGTGCTCTCCCTCTCTTTTTAAAAGCTAACAAGCACCATTCCCAAGTGACAGCTTGAAACAGGTCTTACGCACCCAAGCAACTATACACAGGACAACTCCTAACATGGCTTTGGAACACAGACCTTAGCTACAGCCTGTTAAAATCAGTGCCAATGTCAGGATCTAACAATGCTCAGATCATGGGATCCCGTCCTCCTGAATTTTCACTGTGCTGAAGTGGGAGGCTGCCAGGAATCCCTCTCCGCAGTGCAGGACCACAGAACTCCTGACCCCAAAGGAAAGATGAACTGGTCTACAGCTTCTCACTTGTTCTGGGATACTTCACCCTTTTTTTCAAACACTGATGAAGTCAATCCAACTCCCTGTCCCACGCTGACATGTTTTCAGCAATTTGTAAGAAGTAGGAGAGGAGGCTGCAGTCTTTGTTTCCTGTCTCTTTCCTTCCTCTCTCTATCCATTTATTCAGCAAGTGCTTACCGAATGCTGACTATGTTCCAGGAACCACGGTCCAAACTGGGCAAAACTCAGGGCCTACGAGTCAGTGCTGGTACGCGGTGGGTATGCAACACACGTACACGCACCCAAAGACAGGGACCCGACAGCCGGGGGCTCAGAGCCCAACTGGGAAGACAAAAGTCACAGGCTCCTGCGCAGCTATTTCGACAGCAGCCACGGTGGCCCAGGAGGAATAGTCCGTGAAGACTACTCAAGTGTGTGTGTGTCTTTTAAATCAAAAGGGGTCATGCCATGTCATCCGAAAGACTCACGATTTGCTTCTGCTTCAACGGCTTCACAGAGAAGCTGCCGTCCACGTGCTGCAGGGGGCAAAGACACAGAGGTTAACTCGGCGGATGTGGTCCTCTGAGCACTCCTGCTCAGCAGGCTGAAAGGCCCTTTGCTAGCCAGTCCACACCTATAGCTGAAAAAAGGAAGGGCCACATGAAAACTGAAGAGTCAGGCCGGAATTTCTCAAATGTGGCCCTCAGACCTAGCTTTGAAACCACCTGGAGAGTCTTGTAAAAATACAGCTCCTGGCCCTGAGCTACCCTACCGAACCCAGCTCTCCCTGGGCAATCCTCATGCACGTGCAAGCCGACGACCACTCAGCCAGGTTCAGATGACGGACGCGAGCCTCCCCACACCACGCACAGCAAACTTTAAGACAAACAAGTGCTTGCTCTCAAAGGGCCCAGTTTAGTTAGGAAGACAGCCCGAGAGCGTGCACACGCACGCATTCGCACGCACACGTTCACAGCAACGCTCAGAGCCCTAAAAACTTAAAAATGAAACAGAACAAACGCGTTCAGTGGCGTCCAGGGAAATACTCTGTTCAGAGTTTGACAAGGTTAATGAAGGTATCAGATCTGAGATCTTCCAACAACACTAATTATTCCTTCGGAGTCACCCAAGACCAGCAGCACTCACATTTTCTGGTGAGGCTGGTGGGTCGTAAAAGAAATTTGCAGAATGTTGGACTCCAAATATAAAGCAGTTTCTCACTGGGCTCTAAACCGGAAGCACAGACTGGACTGTTAGCCAGAGACGGCCCATCTGCCTCAGCCAGAGATGTCAACCATCACCATCTCTTCGACAAGGCAGCGCTCAGGGAGTGCAGCGGCCAAGCCCAGCGCTAAGTAGGGGGGAGGCAGCCTCTGGCTGGTCAGCAGTCCGGCCCCGGGAGAACAGACCTAGCCACGCCACAGGCTGAACAGATCAGAGGGGCCCTGGCCCAGCCATAGGGACCCCCCTGGGGAGCTCTGGAAACACCCAGACCACAGGACAGAGCCCAACTCTGCCCCTGAAGCTCTCAGGGACTGCAGTGGCGCAGTGGGGAGTGAGTGAGGGGTCAGCAGCATGCACGGGTGGTGGGAGGCGGGGCCTGCTCCACAGGCTGCTCTTGAGCACAGGCTGGTGCTGAGAACACGTGCAACTGCAGAGTCAACCGCAGAGTGCAGACGGAACTCAGAGCGCATGGTGGGGGGAGGGTACATTCTCACACCAGGACACCCCACTACCTCCAGCAAGGTTCTCTGTGTACAGCGACACATGGGCCTGGGGCCACACCAGCCAGACGGCAGACCCTTGTCCATCCTGCCAGCATTCGCTGAGCGTCTGCTACCTGCCAGGCGTTACACTAGGCAAGAGCTCAGCTCCGAGAATACAGCCAGTTCCGCCCTCACGATCATCAGGAAATAAGCACAGGTGTTTGCCCCCGGCAAAGAAAAGGCCTCCTGCAGGGGGCAAGGCCCACCCAGCCTGCAGGGTCAGGGTGCTGCAGCCAGGTGGAGGAAGGAGCAGAGGGCCTTTCTGGGACTGTGAGAGGTCTCAGATGACACCCAAGGGAATGGCCTGGTGGGAAAGGGCCAGGGCCTGAGGAGGTGACAACACCGACAACATCTCCACACCCCAGGGGAGTTAGTCTGGGCAGGGAGCCCCGCCTGTGGGTACCCCAGCCCACGCCAGCAGCTTCTAGAGCAGCGGCCCCCAACCTTTTTGGCACCACGGATGGGTTTCAGGGAAGACACCCTATCCACAGATGGGGGTGGGGGATGGGCACAGCTCAGGCAGTGATGAGAAGTGGGGATGGTGACAATCGATGGGAAGTGGCTAAAAATGCAGATGAAGCTTTGCTGGCTGCCACTCACCCCCTGCTGTGTGCCCGGTTCCTAAGTTCCATGGAGGACAATTTTTCCATGGGGTGGGGGTGGGGAGGAGGAGCAGGCAGAGCCTGCTATGTGGCCTGGTTCCTAACAGGCCACGGACCAATACCAGTCTGAGCACCAGGGATTGGGAACCACAGCTCTAGAGAGTTCTATAGGGCTGGCCTCGGTCTAGAACATTCTCCTTCCCATACTCCAAACCCGCTTTGAAATGCCTCCTGTTGGGGACGTTCAGCCTCACGACTAGTCTTCTAGGAAGCACGGGGGAATCTCCCACCTGCCCTGGGCCCTGACCCCACACCCAGGCTCCTAGTCTCAGAAGGCCCCCTTCTGGTCCCAGCTCCCAGGCCCTAGGGACAGTGGGGGCCAGACACTTACCTTTTCAAAGGCGGCCAAGAGCACGTGCGCATGGCCAGTCACTTCCACAACTGCAGGGAGAGGGGGACAGAGCGGTCAGAGCCAAAGCAGCCCGCCCCACCCGGCCTCTCTACCTTCCCAGCCCTCAGCTGCAAGACACAGTCCGGAGCCTGTTCCAGGACTCGGCCTCCTCTGCCTGGGGCCCCCGCGGCTGCCCGGGCTGCTGTCCAGCCCCCCTGACCCTCTGAGCTGCCCACGTGGCAAGCCTGGGGCCCCGCACTGACGTCCTCCCTCACTGCTGGAAGAGGCCTCTGGAAGCAGCTCCCTGAGTGGAGGGCCCCAGCTCGGAAGGAGGACAGAAGAGGACAAGCTGACGCCACTCACCATCTCCCTCGTCCACCACGGCCTGGATGACCACTGGAAACACGCCCCGGTCCAGGTCAAAGTTCAACTGAGGGGAAAAGAGGCAAGAACACTCAGGACCCGCGGCAGCCAAGCCAGGCTGAGCCGGAGGGAGGGACCGGTGAGCGGGAGGGTGTCTGCAGAGCCTGGAGGACGCGGGTCTAAACGGCAGGGAAGGCAAACGTCTGGCTTGGCACCTTTGGGGTTTTGTGTGGTGAAATACACATAACATAAAAGTTGCCATTTTAACCTCATTTAAAGGCGTTAAGTACATCTACAATGTCATGCGATCAGCACCGCCATCCATTGCCAGAACTTTTCATCAGCCCACACGGAAAGCCCACGCCCAGGAGCACTCACTCCCCAGCCCCGGCCCCCACCAATCTGCTCTGTCCTGACGGATCTGCATCTTCCGGACATTCACACAAGTGGCATCCTACAGCATGTGGCCTTTTGTGTCTGGCTTCTTTCATTTCACACGTTTCCAAGGTTCACCGTGCCGTAGTGTGACTCGGTGCTTCCTCCCTTCGTGGGGCCGAGTGACACCCCACAGTACGGACAGCCCAGAGCTCGGTGTGTTCACCTGCTGACGGGCACGCGGTTGCTTCCACCGCTTGGCGACTGTGCACGGTGCCGCTGTGAACGCGAACGTGCCAGTGTCTGCTGGAATCTGGGTTTCCACCCTCTTGGGTACACCCTCGGGGTGGAAGTGCTGGGTCACATGGTAACTGTTTAACTTTCTGAAGAAAAGCCTGACTTGCCCCCCATATGATAGAAGGAAAGTGAAGGAGACCATCTGGCCTGTCCTTAGTTCAAGGAGAACCTTGTCGTGTTTCTCATTACACCCCTGCCGTGCTCAAGCTAAGAGCCGCTCCCCTCCCCGCGGCCCCATGGCCCAGCGGCCGGGCCTCACTCCTCATGGGAGCCCCGCGGGCCAATTCCCACCTGGGGCGTCAAGAAGGGCTTCCCGGGCCTCCCAGTGCAGCCGCCCCCATGAACACTCTCTCAGCCTGAGCCTCTCTGCATCGCTTCTGCCTATCACGCTGAGGAACGCCACCCGGATCGTCACCTGCCCCCGACTCCCTGCTGGACGACAGCCATGGAGCACGGAGACCCCGCCTGGCTGGTCAGCGCCACACCCTCAGTGTCTGCCACAGAGAAGCAACAAACACGTGTGTTTGCGTATTCTGGGCAGAAAATCAAGACTTCTCCCTCGGTAAAGATGTACTAAAAGAATGGATGAGAACACACTAAACTCTGGAAATGCACTAAAACCCACTGATTGTACCTACAACGAGGAGCTGTGTGATAAGTGAATCACAACGCGATAAAGGTGTTAAGAAACAGAACAAAACAAATACTGGATAAAATCCCAAAGAGGAATGGCCTGGCAGGTCCGGCCCAGGCCCTCTGCCTCCAGCCCGGAGCAGCAGGCCTTGCTTAGGCAAGACCATCCACGGGGAGGGGACAGCCCCACAGTCTGTCTCCAGCAACCGCCCACCCCGCGGAGCCCACGGCTGCGCGTCGTCCAGCAGACCAACAACGAAGCCCCAGAGGGAAGAGGCTCCCAGCAGAGCCCAGTGTCAGGGACACACGGGGCTGCCTCCCTTCTCCAGCTGTCCCTCCATGAGGCAGGCAGTAGCAGCAGAGCTGGGCACATGTCCCCACCCCAGTGGCCCAGGGGGACTGTGATCTCAAGTCCTACCCTCTGAGCTTCAGTTTCCTGCTCACTGCATCCACCACATGGGTTTCAAGGACAAGGCGCTAATGATGTCCTCCCGCCAGGCCCGGCCCCCACAGATCCAGGGCAGCGCCCAGGCCGACCAGGCACCCTCCATCCAGCAGGGGCTCCATGCCAGCGGGTGGCCGGGCCCCACTGGCACGTGGCAGGATCCCTGCCCCCTGGGAGCCAAGAGCCGCACTCCTGGCAGTCCTGGGAAGCAGCCATCAGCTCAACAGGCCACAGACCTGTCAGCACACGTCCACACGGCCTGGTCTCCACATCTGCTCACGAGGGAGGGTCACGGGTCAGAGGTGGCCAGTGGAGACACCGGCACGGGGGCTGCATGGGGGAGGCCAAGAAGGTCTCCATCAGCAGAGAAACGCCAGGAAGTGGCAGTGCACTGGCACAGGGTCAGACTCGGGACCGTTGCTCCGAGTCTGCTGCTCGCCTCTTCACTACGAATGAGCCTCCACCTGAGCCTCAGTTTCCCCACATGGAAAAAAGGGATAGAAGCCGCTGCCAACATAAAGGCTCTGAGTGCGGTGGCTGGAAGAACACGTGGTCAGCGCCGACTCAAAGCTCCATGTGTCAAGGAACAGGAGCCAAGGGAAGCCTCCCCTGGCGCGGTGGCCACGGGCAGAGGAGAGGAAAAGGGAGTGGAAGGTAGCCCAGGAGGGTGACATGGACGTGTCCACAGCCACCGGGGACCTTGTCAGGCCATAGGCTCCCACCATCTCGAAGATGCCGCAGAAACCTGGACCTGCCAGAGGGAGGGACACTCCTTTCCCTGGCTCCTGCCCTGCTCTGGGCTGACCGGCAGGGGGCGATCACACCGAGACACCAAGACAGGCCGAGTGCAGAGCCATCTTCCTGGAGTTGCCCACGACAATCCCACGCTGCCCTCCAGAAGGCAGCAATTAAGCCCAAGAGGGGGGAGTTCATGCACTGGCAGCGGCTCCTTTAGGTGGAGGGGCTGGACGGGAAAGCAGAGCTCCGTGGGGCTCAGCCCTGTGCCACCCCACCTCCCTGTGCATCCGCCCCAACCTCAAGCCTACACCCCGTGACTGGAACAACACCCGGTGCCTGGAACAGCACCCAGTGCCTGCTGACACAGGCACCTCCAGGTGATTTGCACTTTTTCCTCATTGCACTCCACAAACTGAATGCTGACGGGTGTTTTGCTGGAGTTAAAATAAAAACCAGGCCAGGCGCAGTGGCTCACGCCTGTAATCCTAGCACTCTGGGAGGCCGAGG